GGACTTACTAAAAAATTGTAAACAAATTAACAACACTGTTTCAATTTCATAGATTGGATGAGACTACTTACTATCGTGAGTTTGAGAGAAGCTAGTTCCTTCATAACAATCAAAACTTGTCGGTCATCTTATGCAGAGCAAAAAGTATAAATGTAGATTTTATTTAGATTTCAATCTACGTTTAATTGTAGATTGATATCCTAATTGTGCAACAGCATGGTAAAACAAATATTTCAATCTACAATCAAATGTAGATTGAAATCTAAATAAAATCTACATTTATACTGTTTGCTCTGCATAAGATGACCGACAAGTTTTGATTGTTATGAAGGAACTAGCTTCTCTCAAACTCACGATAGTAAGTAGTCTCATCCAATTTATGTAATTGCAAGAGTGTTGTTAATTTGTTTATAAGTTTTTAGTAAGTCCAGAAGAAGAAAATAAACATTTTCGAAAGCTCGACATAATACCAAAGAGTTTTTCTTACTTCCTGGAATCCTCAAAATTGACTGCAACCTCACAAACAGAAATCACATAGTGGTTTCGAAGTTCTTTCTTTCTTTCCTATCCTTATAACACTAATTTTTTATATTCCTAAAAGTAAGAAAATTATTTTAACCTATATTTAAGAGACTTATTATGTGTTGTTTACAACCGACTATTTTTTTTTTGGTTTCTATTACTCTTTATAACTGCTTTGTTTACGAGATGTTCATCTTTCGACAATGAAGTATACATCATTATTATTATTATTATACACATAGCAGATTACAGACAACCCACCTAAAACCAGGTATCACATATATATCTTTGATAAAAAAAATATTTTTGATAAAAATATCTAGGGCTTTCAACACATTAAATTTATGCACCAAATGAAATTCCTTCAAAATAATCAATGTGTTTTTAGATATGCCGGTTTTTGTATCGAGGTCAAGAACTTACAAGTTATTTACATGGCTTTCAAAAGTATTGCTGATCTGCAGTTCAGCAAATCCTTCTCAGTAAACGTTGCTCTCGAAATCATATAGCAGGCCGGGTCCCCAGATATCAATCTCGACCAGAATAATCATTTTCTATAGAAACAAATTCCAACCCCATCCTTCGTGTTCAAAAGAGTTGACATAACTCATAAAATTGAAATTAAACCTTACAGGTCGGCAGAAATTCTTACAGGTCGGTCATCCCAAATATAAATCTCGATCAGATTAATCATTCCCGACAGAAAATATCCTAAACCCCACCCAAATATTTCACAATTCTCATAAAATTTAAAATAAACCTTGCAGGTCGGCAGAAATTTTTGCAGGTAGGGTCTTTCAGATATGAATTTCAACCAGATTATTTACCTTCAATTTCATGAGAAATGTGAACTTTTTTGAGCACGAAGGATGGTGTTTGGAAATTTTTCTGCCGAAAATTATTATTCAGATCGAGGTTCATATCTGTAAAACCCGATCTGTTAACATCAGCCAGCTAAGCATGACTTTTGTATTTGCAACTATACTTCTAGTCTAGTTACAATGAAATCATTTTGATTAAATTACAAAGTTATCGGATTGATTCCCTGATTTGTTGACGATATAATAGTTCTTA